GTTTATAATCTAATGGGAACATATATAACCAGCCTACGAATTTTTATCGAAATCGAAAGGGGTCGGCCAAAAAGTGATTGATTTGACATGGAATGACCCTTTGTTAAATGGCTCAATTTGACCTGAAATTTTAAATTAGCTAACTCAATATTTTATACAGAAAAATATTATACAAACCTAAAAATTTTGCTCATAGGTGACACAGTTTGGGCATCTATTAGTAAAATCTCAAGTAGACAATATTTTCCTGACTAAAATATTGAGATACCCATTTAAAAAAATTGGCTTAAACCCAGCTATTTAACAAGACTAGTTGGTAATATAAAAAATCTTAAGAGGAATCTTTTTTTAAATCAATTCAAATATTTTTCAAAATATTGTGAAATTATTATTTATAATACAAATTTTTTTTTTTTTTTTTTTTTTTTATAGATATATAAATGGGTAAATTCTCTCTTTATTTCAATAGTTGCTGATATAATATGTTAAAAGTTTATAGTAAATAATAAATTTTTTTATATGGTAAAATTAATAAAGGTAAAAAAAATATAAAAATATAATTTGCGAAAGAGGGTAAGGGATAAAAGAATGGAAACTAGGAAAGAGAAGGGAGAGAGAGAGCATAGACATAGGAGATTATTCAATGGAAGAGATGAAACTTAGGTAGTTAGAGCGAATGATGGCGGTAGCAAGTCTTTGTCGTAAGAAAAGGGACTCTTTAGGCTGATCGGTTTTTTCCCGAATCCGTTTGCCTAATTCTTTAAAAAAACTTAGAGCTTTGCTACCGAAGGTGGTAAGAGTAGAGCAGGCGATAGGTATGAATAAGAAAGAGGGGTCTATGGAACTATATTTGATAGTTTTACGAGTTTCTGCTAGAGCGAGGGCATCGACGTTGTGGTTGGATGGTGCATTTGGGTCTATGCAGGTGAAGTCCCAGACTAGTAGCTGGCCCCTTGACCAAGGAATCAAGGACATTCCATCAGGACGTTTTCCGTCGGATCTAAAAATGCCGGTCGGTTCAAGTCTTGATGGAATGCCTGCGGATTTGAGAGCGCGCAATATGATGTCATTGCAATTGGTGTGCCGTGGAAAACGGCCTCGGCAAAAGCGGAAATGGAGGCAATGTCTGCCCTTGCGATCGACGCTGGTTTCGCAGTGTTTGCATTGGTATGGTAGAACAATTTCGCAATTGAGCCGTAATCCAATGGCAAATCTTAGCTCGTCAGCGGTCAGCAATAAGTCGAGGTTGTTGGAGGGTATAGTTTCCAGAAACTCGTAACCCGATCCTTGGTTTAATTGGTGAAAGACTGTGAGATCGTCGTCATGAAGGCTCGATTTTAGGTAAGCGACGGAGCCTTCATTGAGTGGAGTATCCCAGTCTCTCTGTAAACAGGAGGAGGGTCGAGGAGTGTTTGGGACAACGGAATTGTCCCAAATGGTCTGGGCTTCAGCTAATAATGGGTCAGGAAAGTGAGAAAGCTGGCTAATGTGTGAGTCAGATGAGAGGCGGGAGGCGATGAATCCACTGATGGAAAGAGTTAAAGGTGAGCGTAAGCCGATGCCCCCGAGCTTGCATGGAAGTGATGCTTGTAGCCATGAATTATGGTTGAAGCGAAGATTAAGGATCTCTTCGGCAAGAGATTTGACGGAAGTTTCAAATGATTTTAGTGAGTCGGGAAATTTAAAGATTGAGGTGGATCGAAGAGCGTAAAGAATTTTAGGAATGTAGTAAAAGTTTTTGAGGAGAAAAAAAGCTTGATGGCGAGGGAGAAATTTAGAGATGTTTTTGAAATGAAGTAAGCTAGATGACGCGTTAGAGAAGAAGTGATTAATGGATTGCAAGCCACCGACAGGTGAGCCAAGATGAGTGAGGGATGATAGCTCGGTTGTAAGGAAGTTATGGGTGAATGGGATGGAACAATGAAGTGGACAGATCTCGGTTTTTTGTTCGTTAAGTGAAAGTCCAATTGCGGCGGAATGTGTATTAATGATGGCGAGGGCCTTGGCGACCTCGTGAGGGGAGCCGCAGAACATTCCGTCGTCGATGTACCAAGTGTGGAGTGGAAGATTGCAGTTGGTAGAAATGTTTTTGACCATTTCGTTGATTCCAATGCAGAAAAGTATCGAGCCTAGAGGATCGCCTTGCTGGATCCCTTCAGATGATGAAAGTAAGTAGTTGTTGAATTGGAGATGAGATGGCTTGGAATAGCATGAGTGGAAAAATTGGGAGAAGGTGGGAAATGAGTGGTATATTTGTGGAAGAAAGTGGGAACGGCGAATGGAGTTGAAGGCGTTAGAAAAATCAATTTTGACGAGGATTTCGTCGCTAGGGTTGGTTTGGAGATGGATGCGAGTAGCGTGTGTGGCTATTTCGCAACCTCCCTGGATGCCAATACCGAGTTGATGGGGTGCTAAAATTAAGGCTGCGTTGTCCTTAATTTTGGAAGCTATGAGTTTAGCAACGAGGCGACGGAATACGGTCCCGATTGCTATCGGCCGGATGTCTTTGTTCGGCTTTTCGAGTGCGATTAATTTAGCGCCGAACAGGAGTGACCTGATGGATTCGGGAACAGGTCCATGTGCAATTTTGTTGCAGAATGTTGTTAGATTCTGTAAAATAGGGACCTGGCTGACTATGAGGGGGGATGTAAGGTCCTGGAGGAAGATGGGGCGAAGCCCATCATACCCGGGCGAGGAGTCATGATGAAAGGATAGGATACTTTTGCGCACCTCGACGGGGGTGAAATTAGTGGGAAATATGTTGGGCGGAGGAGGAGGTATGAGGTCACCTCCAGGAGGGTGCTTAAGTTTAAGTTTGTTGTAGCTCTCCTCATTACTGGTTGCAATTGAGTCGTCACATGCTAGTAAGCGGAGAGCAGATTTGATGTTTAGATTGTTTATTTTGTTAGAAATTATCTTAGCCTTTAATTGGAGGCTGGAAAGTTTTTTAGAATTATGAGGAGAAAAAGTGGATGTGAGGGTGAGGGGGTGTATGGTTGCGTCTTTAATTTGTTGGGTTAAAGATTTGTGAATCTCAGGATTGGGAGGTTGGAGAGTCGTGAAAGAAAATGAAAAAAGTTTGAGCCAATGATCTAGAGAGGAAAAGTTATTTAATAGTGAATGAAGACAGGTAGAGAGAGCTTTGGCTACTTGTATTCTAGAGCCTTTGGGAATTCTAGAAATAATGGGAGGTTTGTCGGATTTTAGAAAGTTAATGATGTCGACGTGAGTGGTAGGTGGAAGGGAAATGAATGTGTCTGATGTGGTTGGTATGTGGGCGTTATTGGATGAGGTGGAAGTATAACTGTGAGTAGAAAAAATGGAGAGGGGATTTTGGAAGGGAGGGGAAGGACGCTTTCCAGACTCAGGACAAGCACTGCCTTTGGATTTGTGCTTGGTGAAAAGGCCGGATTTGGTGATTTTTATGTTTTTGGAACACGTGGGGCAGCGTTCCATTGTGTGGATAAAGAAAGGTTGTGAATAATTGTGTTGAGAATGGGGATGTGACAGGGACTAGGAAGAAATAATCTGCAGAGAATAATGATGTTGTAAAGATAAGGTTATTAAATATGAGAGGAAAGAATGGGCATAAAGGTTGTTGGGGTTGGTGTTTGATAGAGGTTGGTTATTTGTTTAATAAATGTAATGGTTAAAGTAAATAAAAGATTGAAAGGCTGAGGAACATATATAAAAGGGAGAAAAAAAGATAATTATTTAGGGTATGTTTATGAAATGGAAAAGAAAAATTATGTTGTATTAATGGGGATATTACAAGGAACGTAAGATAATTTGAGTCTTGAAGAATATATATATAAGAAAGTAAAAAAAAAAAAAGATTTGGTTCAATTGTGAGGAATAAATGTGTACGAATAAAAAAAAAATATTATGCATGTAAAAAGAGAGTTGTGCCATGTGTTGGTTTTTCATATTTTTAAAAATTTAATATTTTTTCACTTACATTATATCTATTTGTAAAATAAAATTACGATAGCAAGGGGCTTTTTTTAATTATTAAAGGTAGATTTCAGCATTAATACCAATAATTATGCCAATAGATGTTCAATCCTATGTGCCATTTAAAGAGCAAAATCTTTAGACTTGCATAATATTTTTCTGTATAAAATATTGAGCTAGCCGTTTTTAAAAATCAGCTCAAATTGAGTCGTTTAACAACACTACCCTTAACAGATATTATATGGCATTATATTAGGTTTAGGTGATTAAAATTACTTTTCTCTTATAAATAATACAAGTTCTAAATTTTAAAATAATTATTTTATTAATTACAATATTGTCAGTTATATAGGTAAATTATAAAAAATATTGCCTATTTTCTCTTTTTTATTAAATCTAGTTTTTTTTAATGGCTTAAAAATTTTGTCTTAAGATAAATTATAAGTATAACCAATAACACTGTAGCTTATTATTGTTAAAACAACTTTTGTTAAAAAATCAGGTACCTAACAATGGTGAGTTCATCAAGTATAAGTAGATATACCTAATTTATGGCAATATAAATATACCAAGGTTACCAAAAAACTTAATTATAAAAATAAAAGAGGTAATATTCCATAATTTTAATTTGCAATATACTTATAATCACTAAAATCTAATATATAGTTAAATAATCTCATTCTGCAATATTTATACTACTCATATTTCATGATATTAATACTAATTATTCTTGTTTTAGAATGAAAAAAAAAGTTAATGAATTTAAAAAATTTAAGATATAAGGCATATAAAATGTTGGTTTAGGTATGATGAAATTTCAAAAATTTATGAAAGAAAAGGATTCACATCATACTAATGAATACAATAATCATTATTGATAAAGAAAAGTAATTAGCAAAGCACATAGGCTGCATTTAAATTTTCTAAAAACATAATATATGCTATTATTTTTATAAAACAGTAATAATAATTGCAATCTTTACTATTTATTTGCAATATTAAATTTTGAATATAAAAAAAACATTCATAACTATAATTTTACTTACATAGTTGATAACAATAAATAAACTAAATTAGCTAATGCTCCTGATTTGATGACTTCTTGAATGGGTGGATTTTTGTTTTTTGATAGAATTCTACGCAGATATAAGACTGCCTGATATAATTTTTCTACATTAGGACTTTCTTGTTTTAACTCTTCAAAATAAAATATTGCTTGTGGCAAATTTTCAACAATTGGCTATCTATCAATAAATTTTAGATCTCTAAATTTAAATACCATAATATCCAAGGTATTAGAATTTGATTGAATGTGAGGAGGGGATGCTGGTGCATTCGTAGCTAAGGTACGTCGTTTATTAAGAGATTCTTCTTTTTTTTGTTTTCGCAATTCAATCGCTGCATCAAGTTTAGATTTCCTCCTCGCCTATAAATTTTAATATAAATGTTACAGCCCTTAATATATAATTAGAGTACTTCTGGATCTGAATGATTATTTTTGTATAGTTTAATATGCGAATCATTGGTAGACATTGAAATATAAAATAAATTCTCGTTTCTCTTTTTTTTTTTAAATTTACCACCTGGTCTAGTTTGTAAAAATATTTGAAAGTAAAATTTAAATATTATATTTGAAAAGTAACTTTTGATTTTGGGTGCGGTCCTGTGCACCAAATTTGGAATATTTAACAAAATCTTAATTATATAAGTATATGCATTGGTATAAAGTTTGCTCAGTATTTTTAACAGAGTGGATCTAATCATTTACATAGATATAGTAGTTTAAAATTGAAATCGGCTCTCCCGTTGCCTATAAAGTTATTAGATATATATGCAATTTATGGGTGTGGGCTGTTTCTCTACCCGATCTCTTTTTAATTGGCCTACAGAGGTTAATTAATTGTAGTGTAATAATAATATTACACATACATGTACATGCGGGCTCCCCATGAACGTGTGAAGGAATCCTCATTTTCCCCCTATAATTAAATATACAATTTGATGGATTTGAGGAAAACTTAGCGTAGCACTGTTAGTTGTAAACACTATATGATTGCTGAAATCAAGTAAAATTTCTATTATCGAGCGAATAAGAATAAAAAATAATGTAATAATATACAAAAATATATAATAAAGGCCGAATAATTTAACCATAAGGATGAAGTAGATGGCATAGTATTTAGTAATCTCCAGCTATCCATGTGTTAAAGGGTTAGGAAAAATTTAATTTTGTTAGTGAAATTAAATAAAAATTTATTTACTTTTCATATACACAAATTTATAGGTTTGACAGAAATTAACTAGTTTGTTTTATATTAAGAAATAATATATCTTTTTCTGTTTTATTGCGATGAGATGACTGATTTTAAATTTATTTTCTTTCGCTTAAGATGATGATTTTTTATTTTGTAAATATAAAGGATTTATTTTGTAAATATAAAGGATTTATTTTGTAAATACAAAGGATTTATTTTGTAAATATAAAAGATTTATTTTTTAGATAAATTCAATTAAAACCTCGATTATTTACAATGAATTCATTATTATAGCATTATGATCTTGCTAAAATATCTAAACCTTTTTAATTACAATGAAAAGGATAGCAGAATTTGGAAAACAATGTATATGATTGTTTGCAATATATAGATTTGGTCGATGAATTGTATTATAATAGTTCTATAATAAAAGTATTAATTTCTACAGTAATAAATTTGTCCTATTTTATCTCAAATTTAATAGATAACCCCCAAAAAAATTTATTATATCCCAATTAAAGCCGCCTACTCCCTACCCTCCTCAAAAAAATAGGATGCAAACTGTTCCTACCCCTCCCGCTCATGTAGACGCTGGATCCCACCGAGATTGTAAAGGCCAGTGTCGCCCCTGACATTTATCTTATTTTATATTACTTTATAATATATTAATATACCTTATATGATATAACATCAGATCATATTAATATTAATAATTAAATATTTAGCTAGACATATATATTGATGGAAAATTATTTTAAAAGACATTATTCTTTAATATTTTAAAAGAAAAAAAAACTCCCCTGTCTCTCCTTTTCAAAAGATTTTTATGTTCGCACAATTTTTAAGGTAGTCCTCATAATTATGCCTTTTATTGGTGCGGGATAGTGTTATTAAAAAGCCCGATCGGGACGATTTTAAATAACAACCCAATTAGAATTATAACACCAAAATAACATTGTAAGCCTAAATATTTTGCTCTTAACTAACAAATGATTGGACGTCTATTTGCCAAATCTCTATGCCTAACAAAATATTATTTTAGCTAAAGTCTTAATCGGACCGTTTTGAATTGACCTAATCGGGCTTTTTAACAGCACTAGTGCGAGAAATATATGTAAACTTATAAATGATCATTTTTGATAAAAATGTAAATCTGCTGTTGAGGATTGATAAAATCGCCCTTAGAGTTAGCTTATGTATATATGATGATAGAAAAAGAGGTATCTTCTAAAAAATTATATTGACAAATTGGGAAATATTAGATAAAAAGCTATCATTATATTTTAAAATAATCTATAAATTGTTCATAGTGAATATCTGGGTATTTTTAATTGAAGATGGACGAATCCATTAATAATTTAAAACCTGATAAGGTACTGATCAAAAAAAAAATTATTTTCATATACTAATGAAAACCGAAAATAACAATCATATAACACAAATTAATTATAGCTTTCTTCATAATTTTTATTATTGTATATTTATATAAAACTAGTAGAAAGCGCGTCAGAGATTTTTATTCATTTTTTACGATAGATGTCATGCCAGGTTCAAGCTCACAATATTGGGAAGCATCCAAGATCTTATAATTTTAAAAAATTTATCAAGCCCAGCTCAACCCTTAATAATTTGTAAAAGATATTCCCAAGTCAGGTGCAACTAATATTTTTTGAGGTTACAAGCCCAGTCCTATCCATTATAATTTTGAAAATTTTTTCTCACCTCGGAGATAGTTAAATTTTTAATTGATTTATCATCACATGAAGGGGAAATATCTGATTTACCAATTAGTCTAATATGCAAAAAAACATGTGAATTCCGTATTAAGGGAAACTGGGAAGGCCTGGGCAAACCACTTACAGTCAAAACCGTTTAATTGCGAAAGCTTGGGACCGAAATATTAAAAATTTTGCAATTATCCGATTTTTCGCAATTATACGATTTAAATTCAACAATTTATTTATTAAAAATCAGTTTGTGTTTTTTATAAAGATATTTATAATCTATATATATTTTAATCATATAAGCCATCAAACTTCGCAATAAATACAATTTTTAATTAATGTAACCAACTATATATTTTAATTTGAATAAGTTATGTAACGAATAAAAAAACTAAATTTTAAAAATTTATCTTATTTGTTTGAAACATATGATCATAGCTTTTTTTCTTCCCACCAATAATCCTATATTTTTATCGTCAATTCATTAAGTTATTAATTTATAAAATGTATTCAATTAATTTAGATCAATCAAATAATATTAAAATATTTGAAGCACTTGAAAGTAATGTGATATATTTTGATATATATATATTTATATTTTCTTTAGATCTAGACATGATTATAATCAGAAAGGAACAAAGAAAACAAGACTTTTAATTATAAAATGATTGTAATTATTTATGTATTATATATATGTATTAGCATTATAGTTGTTAATAAATTATTTTTTATTGAATAAAATTATTTCAATTAAATTTGTTTACTTGATTTTATCTCATTTTTTATTTAAGATATGTAAGAATTAAAGCAAAAAAAGCTTTTGTGGAAGATAATAACATTTTTTCCTTTACAATACCCTAATATTTATTTCCATTAATTTTAACTACTTTTGTCATTTTACCTTCATTAAATTTACTGAAATATAATTTTACACAAATATATTATCAATTTTTAAATTCTAATTGATTATTAAAGCCAAATTTTAAAATATTTTGCCTAAAAAACTGGAAACAATAAGATTAATATAAAAGAATTTAAGTTTATTAAGTGTTTTGTTTTCATTCACATGATATTTGATTTAAAATCCTGTGCCTATTCAAATCTTATGAATTCTAATATTGTAAATGTATTAACAGACCATGCTGGAATGAAAGTTTATTAATGCTTTGTTAACATAAGATTTTATTTGAACTAATTTTATTATACATGCATCACAATTATTATAAAGTAATGTAAGATTTAATAAAAATAATTTGCGATAAGAGTTTGGCTAGACTCTGGAGTAAATAATTCTTTTTCCACTATATTCTCTAGCTTTCTTAGTGCATCTTGATCCCTTAGATGTTCATGAGCATATTCAAGAAAAGTATAATAACCATTAAGAGCCTGATTTTTTGTAATTAAATGATCAGATATCTCTAGGTTCCCTTCGTCATTCTTGGAGCTTTCATAACCTTCTATAAAAAATAAGATTAATTAAAATTTTAAGTAATTAAACCGTCCAACTCTAATCTTATCTGATTACAAATATCCTGATCATCTAAAATTATATGGCAGCTAGCATCATCATCATGTAACGCATATTCTTCAAATATGGGATCAAATTCATCTTCTTCGTTGTCAGTTAATGCTATATCATCCTCCGATTCCCAATCAAATGCCATAGACTTATCAAAAAATTTAGCTTCATTAAAACATTTTATGATTGTGGTACTTGTCACCTCACCCCATGCAAATTTTATAAGATAGAGGCTGTCATAAAGTGTAAATCTTTTATAAAAAGAGGTGGTGTCATTTCCTTCCATCAATGTTATCATTTTTCTCATGATACCCTTTCTATAATTACATTTAAAGGATCTAATTGCACCCATGTCCAAAGGTGGAATTAATGATATTGTATTTGCTGGTAAAAAAATTAATTTTATATTGTTAAATGTTAATTTTGTTTTGTGACAAGATGCATTGTCACAAAACAATAAAATTTCATTCTTTAATGAGGAATCCCATTCTTTAAGAATATCTTCAAAAGTTGAGGTTGTCATCCAGCTGCTTTTATTGGAGTAGTATTTTACTGGTAATTTTTTATTTTTAAAGCACCTAGGGTTTTTAAATTTCCCTATAACATACTTTTTATCAGATCCATCTCCATTTATAATAAATAGAACTGTGACCTTTTCCTTGTCTGGTTTGAAGCCCAGTAGTTGAGTTCCACTAAATTCCATTGTGCCCTTTGGTAATGCTCGGTAGTATATTCCTGTCTTATCACAATTGTAATTATTACTCCTTTGATAATCTTTAATCAGAGATGGGAGTGTATTTCTGCTCCATTCATTTGCATTAATAATATCTGCACTCCCCTTTTCATTGCAAACATTATGAAGATTTATATTGTCTTTTCCTAAATCTCTGCAATCAACTGCTAGTAGGAATGCCTATAATTTATATATATATATATTATAAAAACTTATAATTACCTTCATTGAATGTTTGGCTAAAAAACATAACTTTTTCTAACATCATTGGCCC